GGGGGTGATGCCACCCCTGAGGTCCCCAAGAGCTGCTCAGGGTGGGGAAACTGAGGCAGGGATTGGGGAAGGAGGGGCTGGGGGGGTTTTCTCCAGGCTGTGTTTGGCTGCTGTTCCACCCCCCGAGCTGGGACCCCCCAAAAGAGGGAGCAGAGGGATTTTCTGGGGGCACCAACCTCCTCCTGCTCCTGGGCAGGGGGATGGGGGAGGGTCTCACCAGGGTGCTTTGCCCCAGGCCCCCCTGCCCCGGGCTCTGGGTGGGTGAGGGGGTGACGGGTGCTCTTTTCCACACCCCAGCTGTAGGATCTGGCTTTCCAGAACCCCGGGGGGTCCCCACCACAGCCCCCCCCCCGCCGTCCCCGCTGCCTCCTCGGGGCCCTGACGGCTGCCCTGGCGCTGTCCCTGGTGCTCTGTGGTGAGTTTGGGGGGTGGGAAGGGGCACCCGGACCCCTCTGCCCCTTCCCACCCCCTCCCAGTGCCCCTGACCGGGCTGGGCATCCTCCTGTCCCAGTGTCCTGGTGGGTGGCAGAGAGGGCACAGCCCGAGGCGACCTCGGGGTGGGGGAACACCTTCCTGAGCCCCCCCTGTGCCAGCCTGGACGGCACCTTCAGGGAGCTGAGGAGGATCCTGTGCCCCCCACGAGGTAACCCCCCCCCCGGGGGTCCCATCGTTGCCCCCTCCCCAAACTTAAGCCAGGCTGGAGCTTCCCCCAGTCCCTCCCACGGTGCCTCAGCACACCGGGGTCTGTCTGTCCGTCCGTCTGTCTGTCCACAGAGGGCGAGGGGTGCAGGCTCTGCCCCGTGGGCTGGATGCTGGGCAGGACCAAGTGCTACTGGGTCTCGGAAAGGATGAACTCGTGGCACGGGAGCCGGGAGGACTGCGGGGACCGCGGGGCCGCGATGGCGATGCCGTGGGACAAGGACGAGCTGGTGAAGGGACCGAGGGGACAGAGGGGCTGGAGGCACCCCAGGGGAGGGCAAAGGGCTTCCCGGAAACCTGGGATCAGAACCCTCATTCCCAAATTCCCCGTGGTGCCCGTGGCAGACCGGGGGGGAGGGACATGGGTCTGGCTCGGTCCCGGGGTGAGGACGGAGCCTATTTTGGGGTGACCATCGACGGCCCGGCAGCGCCACCACTGCCCCTTTCCCCGGGCCAGGATTCCCTCAACGAGACCCTGAGGAAACCCACGCGCCACTTCTGGATCGGGCTCTCGGTGCCCGCGCCCGGCACGGGCTGGACGTGGGTGAACGGCTCCCGCCCGGACTGGAGCCGGTGAGGGCCGGGGGGCAGCGCTGGGGGGTCGGGGTGGGCACCCCCCTGTCCCCCGAGGGCCCCCGGGGGTGACACGGGCCCCCTCCCGCACCCGCAGGTTCCCGCAGGACCCCGGGGAGGGTCGCGGAGCCTGCGGGGCGCTCAAGGGGGACAGGATCGACCCCCGCGCCTGCGACACGGGGCTGCAGTGGATCTGCCAGACGGAGTCCGCCCGGATCTGAGGGTCTCCATCGCACCCAAAACCCACCGTTAACGCGGGAAAAAATCCCGATTCCCGCGGGTTCGGCACCCACCGGCAGCTCCCGGGGCAGGGGCAGAACCGCGGCCGGGGAAAGTCGGGGGGTGGAGGAGAAATCGGACTACGAAAAGAATAAAAACTAAAAATAACTTGTAAAATTCACTTTGGGGGGAGCCGGTTGGGAAAAACCTCTCGATCCCCTCCCCGGTGCCCGAGGGTGGAGCGGACCTGCTTGTCCGTGGGGGCAGCTCTTTTAGGGACGCGGGGCAGGGGACACTCCCCGGGGCTGCTCGTCCCCCCTCACAGTGTCCCTCGGTGCCGCCGCGAGTGTCCGTCGGTGCCGCTGTTTCCGTCGCAGGTCTTTTATTGCCTCTCTCTCTTTTTTTTCCGTTCACACCCCCATCTCCCCGCCCCGGGGCGGCCCTTTCGCCGCCACCGCCCCTCGCCCGCCCCTCGTCGCAGCTCTTCAGGGACACGGGGTGGGTCCCACGAGCCAAGGCAGGGTCTGTCTGTCCCTCCGGGCAGCCCCTCCAGCACCGCCGCGGTCTGCTGTCGCCTTTAATTCTATTTTCTATATTTTATTCACAGCTCCCACCCCGCTCGGCGCAGACTTTCTGGCCACCCCTGACACCACCCGTTCAGTGACACCGCCGGGGGACCCCTCGGTGCAACCTTTTATTCCGTTTTACTCTATTTCCTGTCTTTTCTTCTGTTTCCACGCTCACTGCGGCTCTTTCAGACACCTCGGTGCAGCCTTTTATTCTATTTTATTCTATTTTACTCTATTTCCTGTCTTTTATTCTATTCCCACACTCGCTGCGGCTCTTTCAGACGCGGGCGGTGGGAACCCCTCGCAGCGATTTTAACGCCCCCGCGGAGCCAAGAAATGCCAGGAAACAGTTTCGACGCGCGCAGCTGCTTTTCCTGCCGGTCTCCGGCACGTTTTACAAGCAGTGACACAAATGGGCTGTGCCAGCGCTCGGTGCCCCTGGGCTCCAAACTGCCGGGGCAGGAGCCGCTGGGCACAATCCTGAGATACCTTTCCCCACTCCTCTCATCACAACTGTTGAGCTTTTCTTCACGGAAATAATTCCCCGTGGTAATGAAAGGCTGTATAACAAGGTCATAAGTATCATTATGTCAGTATTTGTGCTTGGTTGGGTGCATTCTGGTCCATCTTTTATGGTATTCAAAGTGCAGAGCCTCCATCCCAGACTTATGAGCAGCCACGTGGGACCCCTTCAGCCAAAAACCTCCCTCCGGGTTTCTCAGATGTCACGATGGTGGTCGTAAATCACCAACAGCTTCTCATTTCTTCTGTCTCCAGACTGTGCAGCTTTCACGAGGTGACAGTTTGGAATAATTCTGTCCCCTGCCCGGGTGAGGAGGGGGGTGACAGAGCAGCTTTGGTGGCATCAACCAGGGCCAACCCATGACATCTCCCTTGGTTGGGAACCTTTAAATATTTTTAAGCAAGCAAGGTGCAAAACAAATGCCTTTGTTCCTTGGATGAATCACACCAGGATCTGCTGGAGAACAGCCAGTACTGCCTGATTTGTAAAAGTATAAAACATTCCCCCGTGGCTTTGCAAGGGAACAGGCCAGAGAGCTGTAAAGTCAAAACCACGCCTCTGTGGTTGACTCTCCTCCCCAACTCAGTGGCTTAAGTGACTCAACACCATGAAATATCCCACACACTGAGAGCTGCCCTGTGAGGTGAGTACTCGAGAGCAGCTCCTGGGCTGCCAAACTCGGGGTGGTGGGTGCTCCCTGCCCACAGTGAGCACAGGGCTGAGCCCCCACATCAGGGTCTTGTCTCTGGGGGGGCTGCAATGACCACCTGATTAATTAAATGTGGCATGTTGAAGGGAAGGGGGGAACAAACCCCAAAATCACAGTTTTACAGCTGGGTTTAGTGAGACTTTTGCTGCCGTGGGGTTGGTTTGAGTGTCTGCTGCAGGGTTGGGCTGGTTTGTCATTTTTGCTGCAGGTCCCCTCAGCCTCTCCTCTCCTTCCACCCCAGGCCGCCGAGTGCATCCACCCCACAGAGCCCAGGGAATGTCAGCCCCGGGCCCTGAGGCTTCTCTGCAAGGATGGGGAAAGGAACTCAAAGGCCAAATTCTTCAAGCCAGGAGGAAGCCCTGAACACCTGCAGTGATCCAGAGGAACAGTCCAAATGGGGTAATGCTGGGAAAACCAAAGGTTCTGAGGGAGGGCGGGGGGTGGGAAGAGCATCTCGCTCCGGGGCGGCACCAGTGGGATGGGGATGGAGCCTTTGGGTGGGTGTGGAGCAGCCCAGGCACAGCTGCACTGAATTCCACCTCTGGAGGCTGAAGATCCGTCTCCAGGCCCTCAAACACATGCTGGTGGCTCTGAAGGACTCCTGAGCCCCCAGAGGGATCCCTGGATGGGCCTGGGTGGGGCTGGGGAGGGACTGAGAGTCCAGCACAGGAGGGCAAAGCAGAGGGGAGAGGAGCCAGGCCATCCTCACCCTGCTCTTTCCTGCCCCAGGGTCCTACAGAACCAAATCAGACCGGAGAACATCCCCCAAGGTGCGTGTTCTCCTCACTCTGAGTGTGTTCCTGGGGAGCCTCAGTTTCAGCCTGGTTATGGCACTGACTGGTGAGTCCCACCCAGGCACCCCCTCGGGGAGAATCCGGGCCAGGCACCTCCGTTTTGGGTGGTGGGAGGATCCCAGGACATTCCCAGCATCAAGGGAGGCTCCCAAAGTGGGTGACTCCCTTTTTTCCCTGCACTTTGCTCCAGGCACCTGCTCCTCGCTGAGTTACACCATTGCCTTTCCCAAGAGAATCATCCCCAGTTTCCCTCTTCCAGCTACTGGAAAAAAACCCCAAGGAATCAATCCCATTTTGCTGCTTTTCAGGGCTGCCCAGGTGTCTGACTCAGCTTTCTGTGTTTCAGTTCTCAGTGTCAGACCCCGGTTCTCTGAGCTGGAATTCTCCCACGTGTGCCCAGACACCTGGCCTGGTTTCCAAGGAAAATGTTATCATTTTTCTGAGGCTGAGGGCAACTGGACCACGGGCCGGGAAAGGTGTGAGGCCCTGGGAGCTTCCCTGGCCACCATAAGCACGAGGGAGGAACTGGTGAGGACTGGGATGAACTGGTGAGGACTGGGATGAACTGGTGAGGACTGGGCTTGAGCCTCTGCAGCAGCTCCGGGGTGGGAAACATGGGGAAACCAAGAGGATAAATCAGCCCCAAACCCCCCAGGCTGGCCCCGAAGTGCTGCCAGTGCTGGAGCCGGGAGCCAACCCCTTGGGAAAAGCCCCAGGTCTGGCTGGGGGTGGGCACAGGAGGGAAAGAGGAGGTGGGGAAGGCAAGACTGGCCAAAGCCAACTTTTCTTAGCTTTCCAGGCCTTCCTTCTGCGCTATAAAGATGAAGCAAACCACTGGATCGGGCTGGGAATGAGGGATAATGGCTGGGAGTGGATCAATGGCATGGCCTTGAACAACAGGTTTGAGGTGAGCGGTGGGGTGCCCTGTGGGTACCTGAACCAGGGCAGGATCAGCTCATCCCTGTGCCACACGGAGAAGAACTGGATCTGCAGCCGCCCTGACAACTTCGTCCTGTGGGAGGGGAAATAAAGAGACACCAAACCAAGACTCTCAGCCTGAAGACTCATAGCTTTCCTTCTTCCACTAGCCCAGGGATGTCCTTCCACAGATGAACATTTGCTTTGTGACACATCTCAGCGCTACCTCAGTAACCTCAGTGCCTTTTGTCATTGTCACCTCAGTAGCTGGTCTCAAGGAGGTTTCTTTCTCCAGAAGTCTTCCTCATTCTCTATGGCTATATATTTACACCTTAACAGTGCAGATGCATAACATCAAGCACTATAGTGCTTGAATGTGTGCATGTCAAGTATGTATCTGTTGCTGAACACCATATGAATCTATGAACATGAATGTACAATGTCCTGATTGTGGCCTCAGCAGAGTTACTGTATCAGTGCTGCCGCTGTGCTTCTCTCTCCTTCTCCTTTTTTTACATTTGTATTAAAGTTTGTACGACTCCACTGCTGTCCCTCATGTCCTGGTCAACGCCAGCAGCCCCTTCCCTTCCCGTGTTCCATCCAAGGGAAAACAAATCCCAGGGGACCTCATTTCCCTCCATTGCCACCCAGCAGGTACTGGGAGGCACTGGGGAGCATCAGAGAGCATTAGAGGGCACAGGGGGGAACTGGGAGAAGACTGGTGGGCATTGGGTTTGGAATTAGAGTTGTCCTTCTCTTAGGATGGCTGCTGGAAGGCTAGTGAGCTCATCCTGCCCCTGGACACATTTTATCTGACCCTTCAGTTTTGACGTGTCATGCATGAGGTACCCTGCCGAAGGCACGTACCTCCACCAGCACAGCTCGCAACCTCATAAGGGCACAGAAGTTTTTCCCCCACTAAAATGATTAGGGCAAGCCTTTCACTCCCTGCTTCTCCTGAGCCACGTACACACAATCCCAGGGATATTCCCGGGGAGATTCGGTCACCCACGACCCTCCGAGCAGGACTGTCCCACCCACCCTCCTGCCGGTCCGGGGACCCCACAGCCCGTCGGGCCCCCTCCGCCTCCCCCAAACTGGACTGGCAAAAAGCTCTGTGTGGTCCGAAGTCCCTCCTCTCCTCTCCCCGGTGCGCGGCCGCCACCGTCCCCTCGGCGCGGGCCGGCAGCCGTTCCCTCGGTGTGGCGGGCGGGGCCGGCCGGGGAACGGCTCCTGTTACACCCGCCCGCCAGCACTGAACGGCAGGTACCCAAACGCTGGGAAGCGGCGGTGGAGAAGAAGGAGAAGGAGAAAGAGAAGAGGGAAGGGAGAAGGAGAGCGCGTGCGGTCCAGGCGCAGGTGGGAGCCGCTCGGTGCTGCGGGGGCTCGGGGAGCGGGAGGGGGCGAAAAGGGGGAGTCTGGTGTGTTCACCCTGCCCTGGGCCGGGAGGGTGCTGGCCGTCCTGGGGAGCGGGTTCTGGGGGTGAAGTGTTTGGAGCTCTCACCGGGTCACAGCGCCGGCCCCGCGCAGCCCGATCGCTCATCGCGCCGCATCGGCC